TTTTTTTTTTTTTTTTTTAAAAAAATCTTACTGTGCTGATGTCATGCTGAGTGATGTTTAGGTGTTTGCGTTCTACTCTTGCTGTTGCGCCCTTTTTTCTCTTTCCTTTTGGGGGCCGGGGGGTTGGTTGTGTTTTCTGCTGTCTCCCCCCCGGGGGGTCGGCTGGGCTCCGGGGAAAGGATCCCCCCCCCCCCCCTCCTTTTTTTTTTTTTTTTTTTGGGTTTTTTTTTTTTTTGGGGGAAAAAAAAAATTTTTAAGGCCCCCCCCCCCCCCCCCCTCAGATTGACTACGGTGACGTCAGCGAAAGGAAACAGTTACGAGAACGGCTCCAGTGTCACAGCTTCAAGTGGTACCTGGACACCATCTACCCCGAGCTTTTCAATCCCACGGGCGCTATACATGGCGGAGAGGTAGATAGTATGCTGCTGCTGCTGTTGTTGTTGTTGTTGTTGTTGTTGTTGTTGTTGTTGTTGTTGTTATAGTTGCTGTTTTGCAGACGATGATAAAGTTGATGCATTGTGACTGTGACGTATGTGTACGCACTTAAGTTTCCATAGTGTAGTTCTAGTCTAGTCCTTAATACTTTTAAAAATGTTCCTGACGTTGAACGTATACATTTGTACAAGTCTCCAACGTTGTTTTTGTTGTTGTTGTTGTTGGTGTTTTTTTGTTTTTTTTTTGGGGGGGGGGGGTATTTTTTGTCCTTTTGCCGTCTACACTGATGATGATGCCAGACTAGCATCAATTTCTTTACAATTAGCCTCTTGGCCTAGCTCGCCCTGAGTCATTTCCGTTCAGCCTGGCAACCACATGTAACCTTTTGTGTTAGGCCATTTTCTTGACACTTTGCAGCTCTTCACTAGTCTCACTCTCAGTTGCTCCCGAGGAAGCCTACGTGGCGAAACGTTGAGCCGATTCAATTAAACAAATTTTAAGCATATTATATACATTTTTAAATGTAAATCAAGCCAGCTTCTCCCTACGTCTTCTTCTTCTTCTATCCCGTGGTTGGCGCAACCGTTGGGGCACCACTGCATTGGAAAACCAGCTCTCGCCATCTATTTTTGTCCTCTGCTCTCCTCAGATTGTCACCCATCGTCTTTCCTGTCCACTCTTTAATGTTGTCCTCCCATCTCCTTCTCTGCCTTCCTCTCTTTCTCTTTCCTTGTACAGTTCCTTGCAGGATTGTTTTGGCAAGTCCTGTGGATCTTGTGACATGCCCATACCATTTTAATTTTCGTCTTTTCACTGTGGTCAGTAGATCTTCATATTGTCCCACTGCGTTGGTGATTCTCTTTCGTACTTCGGCATTTGAAACGTGGTCTTTGTACGAGATGTCAAGGAGTCTGCGGTAACATCTCATCTCTGTGATCTGAATCTTTTTCTCTAATTCTGCTGTTAGTGTCCACGACTCGCAGGCGTATAAAAATATTGAGATGACCAGTGAGCGCATTAATATTATTTTTTAGCTGTGCATGATGTTTCTGTCCCTACGTACGCTGCTTTATAAACAATGTTGTTGTTGTTGTTGTTGTTGTTGTTGTTGTTGTTGTTGTTGATGATGATGATGATGATGATGATGATGATGATGATGATGATGATGATGATGATTCGCAGTACTGGTACTCTACAACGCCTTTTAATTTTCTCGACAGCCATTTTTTATCACCTGTAGCTTTCGTAGTGTTTTCTCTCGAAAATCGATATTTTTGAATAGCCTGATTGTTCTTTGAAATCGTCAAACCACCTCTTTATTACGCTTCTTTATATTTTTAATGCCAGGTTCGCAGTGCAGCAGCCCCAATGTGTCTGGACGGGCGGTCAGACACCCTGCACAAGACTGTCATACTGGAGGCGTACCAGTGCCACGGACTACTGGGGAACCAGGTAGCTGAAGGGTCGTGGGGGGGGGGGGGGGTGCTCTTTCCAGTTGCGGTAAATTGCGCAGGTTTTGAGTATTGCTTCGATTATGAGGTAGCTGTAGTCGAATCAGAACTCCGGTCACACACACACACACACACACACACACACACACACACACACACACACACACACACACACACACACATACACACACACACAAACACACACACATACACCCACTCAGACAAGCATAATATTATACTTACATGCAAGAAGTGGCTAGGAGATGGATGAGCGAAATGGATATATTAAAACATTGACAGGGAGGGAGGGAGGGAGAGAGAGAGAGAGAGAGAGAGAGAGAGAGAGAGAGAGAGAGACGGACCCCCCGAGAGAGAGAGAGAGAGAGAGAGAGAGAGAGAGAGAGAGGGAGGGAGTGAGTGAGTGAGTGAGGGGGGAGAGAGAGAGAGAGCGAGAGAGAGAGAGACAGATAGGTGGAGAAACTGCGAGAATACAGAGGGCGTGAGTCGGCG